TATTGCACTAATACTAATGTATTTCGTCAATTTTCAAGAATTATTTAGATGATTTGAAATTTGAATCAAATTTATACATATTGCAATATAGTTGTATGTCTGACCGAACTTCGGGGCCTATTAATTATTATTACATAGCAGTAGCCTGTAAGTACCAGAGGTAAAATACAACTTATTTATGATATTTATTTTATTATTTATATAATTTAAAATAAAATAAATTATGAATAGGTACCTAATCTTTTTGTCTACCATTAATCATTATAGAGCATATTGGTATGCAATACATACAATAATAAATACACCGCAGTGACAGCGTGTGACACATCAAAATATACTATGTGGTTATGCTTAGATTGTTGGTATATATCATATTATCAAATAATGTTATGTAATATGTATTACCTATCTATGAATTATGTTACTAATTATATAATCTTATTTTAACTTTTAGGTTGACATATTATAGGTGCAGATTACATGTATAATTCGTTTTTTTATTTTACTGTCAAATTTCAATAGTTACGTCTGTACACATTTGTATCTACTCAAATACCTACATGTAATAATATTACTTTTTACGTAGACTAGATAATCAGGTGGCGTGATTTTTGTTTGATTAAGATTAAGGTCGAATATCTAATCTATTTAGTATTTATATAAGTAGGTAATAATTAAGTTGAAATAATTGATAAAGAAAATAATATTCACATTTTACATATACGTACAACTATCGCTGGCCATAGGTATTAAAATATGTAACGTACATAGTGTATACAGTGTGAATCTTTTATCGAATAGGTATCTCTCAATATTTTATAACTATTAACGTTTTTGAAATATTATTTTAGGAATTTTTAAGTTGTTTCCTACTAAGCATATTACTAATTTTTAAATTGTTATTGTTGTGTATGAGACTGTGTATGAGTAAGACGTACTAAGTACACTAATGAGAATATTATTTAGATAACTTCGATTTATAAAAATCTAATTTTTGACTAGTAATTATTAGTAGGTATTAAAAGGTTAGACGAGTGGAGAAGTGAACATTTTTTGGGGTAGGTACCGGAGACTCCGTTAATCTAAAATAAATTGTACCTAAATACTTAAGTACCTATCTAATGCCTAATGGCTAATACTTATTGTCCTAATCCTAATGATTGATATAGGTAATTACTTTATAAATTCTTAAACAAGTAGTCCAAAATTCGATTTTTATGTATCAATGTTTGTACTCGTATTCCAAAAATAATATTCTGGTTTAAAATTTAAAAAAAATATAAGTTTTCATTCATAAATTTAAAAAAAATAATAAAATTTATAATTGCTTTCAAAAGTGTTGTAAAAATTACTTGCCAGTATATTCCATTATTTTTATTTCCAATATATTTATTTAAATCAAATGCATATGTTTAAATTGGGTAACATCTTATTAAAGGTGTTGATTTTAACAGTTTCAACACTGTTATAGTCTATTATTGACTAATGTCCATATTGACCATTCATTTATTATAATATAAACATGTCTTAAGTTATTTTCTATAGACTGTAGGTAGGACCTACTCACCTACAAATTACAATCTACATAGGCATCGGTATTCGGTAAGTATAATTCTTCTTACAAAAAATACAATTATAAAAAGCCTTTTTTAATAAAAAAAAAGTAGTAAGTAGGTACTATAAGTAGTATTTTTTTATAGTAAAGTAGTAATAGTTACCAAGTTAGTAAGTAGTAACTAAACCTATACAAATAGAAAATACTGTAGAAAGCATAAAGTACGAAGAATGTGTAGGTAAATAATCCATATAAAGTGCTAAAATAGAATTCAACGTTTTAATAGTAAATTCTAATTCGTCAATTTTTGCTGATCTCAAATTGTTCACTCTGTATACTAAATACATATACCACAAATGCACGAGAATATGAGAACATTATAGGTATTTATTTAGTATTTATTATCAACGTATTTCTTCTTATCATAATAATACTTGTTGCCAATTGGTCAGCGACAGTTGTGCACTTGTGCAGTAATTTTGTTGTGCGGCGCTTGGCACTTCATCTTCGTTTATCTACGCTCGGTAGCCGGCAAGAGGTTATCTGCCATTATTTAATTGACTTATTTTATTCGTTTAAACGTGAACTGAACGGCGATTACCATTTTACGATACGTTAATTCAATAGTTTTCGAACTATAAAAACTGTTTTATTAAACGCGTAATTGGTCAATTAGGTAATTTGTTTGATTAGTGAGTGTCTAATTGATGGTAATTGTGACAAGTGGCTACCGGATAAACAAGTTTATGTTGTTTTTTTAATTGTAGCGTACGATGGCAGATCCAGCTGTAGTATTGGCGAAGAAGGCGAAGATCGAGGAAGCGGAAATAAAAGACGGCTGTGTTGGTTATGATATCGATGCATATTTTGAAAAATTCAGACCAGATAAAAGTAGTCGGTGTACTTGGACGAAAGATTCATGCGCTAAAGATAATCCTCATATTCACAATGAAAATGTGTAAGCATAATATTATTTATAATTCAGAGCACTTTTACAGTTTTTGAATTTTTAGAAATAATAAAAATGAAATTTTACCAAACATATTGCACGCCATTGGCAATACACCTTTGGTGAAGTTGAACCGAATACCTCAAGCAGAGGGCATTGAATGCGAGATTTGTAAGTATTTATAAATATAACATGTCGCTTACATCATTTTTTTTTTATATTAATTATTGTGTTTAGTGGCAAAATGTGAATTTTTGAATCCTGGTGGCAGTACTAAGGATAGAATTGGATGGAAAATGGTTGAAGATGCTGAACGTCAAGGATTGCTAAAACCTGGAATTACAATAATTGAACCATCATCAGGAAATACTGGTATTTGATTATTTAGTAGTTTTATTTTATCTATGTATGCACTTACTGATATTAGTGATATTTTATTATAGGAATTGGATTAGCCATGGCTGCTTCGGTTAAGGGTTATGGGTGCATGGTAGTAATGCCAATGAAAATGTCTCGTGAGAAGGTAGATGCTCTACGATTGCTGGGTGCAAAAATTATACGTACACCTACAACAGCTGCTTTTAATGAATTGGATGGTTTGATACGTGTAGCACATAAGTTACATTTGAAAGATCCAGAAAATACCATAATACTTGATCAGGTAAGGACATTTTTCAAGTTTGTTGATAACCAACTAACGGATGTTTTTGTTTTTAGTATCGTAACAAATATAATCCACTGGCACATTTTGATGGGACTGGCCAAGAAATATTGGATCAAACAAATTATAAAGTAGATGCAGTAGTGGCTGGTACTGGTACAGGTGGCACAATCACAGGCATTGGCAGGAAGTTGAAACAAGAACTTGGAGATAAATGTCGCATAATAGCAGCTGATCCTTATGGTAGCATCTTATCACTGCCTGAAAGTCTTAACGAAACGGATATACAGCTGTATGATGTAGAAGGCATTGGCTATGATTTTGTGCCAACAGTGTTGGGTAAACATTATTAGCTATTAAATAATGACATATATAAATAACAAATTAACATCGCCGTGCCACAAATTGTTTTTCTGTAAATTCCAGTATCTTATACATTTTATAAATAGATTAATATTTCTACAAAAATAATGTTTCAATAACTATTAAATGTTATATTTATGGATATATATGTTGCATAAATAATTCTTTTCAAAAGGACATGCATCACAATTTTCTTTTTTTAGTTATTTTTATATAAGAAAAAAAAAATGTGTACACATAAAATGTAAAAATATAGTTTTAACTTTTAATTAGGTATTATAATTCATTACTTTAAAAATTTCTAAGCCTTGGTCAAATGGATGTAAACTCTTAACACATCAATAACATATTCAGGATTTACCTGAGATGATAATTCTTGCTCTATAAAAATCATCATCATTACAGCCATACTCGCTTGTGATATACTTATTTTAAATGTTGATTTCACCAAATTTAGTTTGGATTTAGCTCTTTAATTGTTACTGATGACAATGTCCCGTATCCCACATCAGCTTTTAATTCATGCTAACAAGTGCGAACAATTGTATACCGTACACGTAGTTGATGGGAATTTTGTACACCAGGCTTGTGTCCGCCGCAGGTAGTCAAATCTCTATAATTCCAACAATATGTCACAATAATTACCTTGATTTGCATTCTAAAAAAATGTTTTCTAATTTTTCACAACATGTACGAGCGATTGACCAAGGCTCATTTTTATAATTATATTTATTTGGTTAAATATCTAAGTTAAAAATGTGTAGAAAATGTGTTAAATTAGTTAAACACTTCCGCTGTTGCCTATGAATTATTTACTTCAATAATTATAAATCCTGAAATGTATGAATAATACGTTTTAAATTTTTATCAAAATATTCTTAAAAAAGTATCGTTTTAAAGAAGGAGTGATTTTAATCATAAATAGAAGTACTTTCAGTAATTACTCACTTATTTTTAACAGTGATGAGTTTTGTTACATAATTAATTAATGATATTTATTAATTGATTTATATAATATAGACTAAAGGGTATTCGTTTGGTATGTGACCTACCAGACCGCGTGACCTACCGTATTGGGTATTCATTTAGTATATGATCCACACTCCACAGGACCATTAATTAATTTAAAAACAGTTAAATTAAAAATCATAAAATTATGTTAATAATTATTTAACTAATATATTAGTAATACAATATACAAATATAAAATAATACTGGATTACATTTAACAATGTCAAAATGAGTTAAACAAAATTAATGAAGACACATAGGTACCTATAACAGCAATAGGTATGTCAAAACTATTCAATAGATTTCATAAAATTATGTTGTTATAAAAAAGTTTTATTTTATTTAAATTATATTTTTAGAAATACACTTTTTGTATTTTACTTAAATTTCAAAAATTCATCTTACCTATTAATAGATCAGTACCCGTACATAATATAGATAATCGTCTTGGTAGGTCACATACTAAACTCGATTTTCACTCTGTAGGTCACATACTAAACGAATACCGACTAAAGTAAATATTAATTATTTATTAATTATTAAATATAATTATTATTACTAACAATTTACTAAAGAGCATTACATTAAAAGATTATAATATTTACCACTCTCTGGAGGCTGAACAGATGTCAGATACAGAATACAGATTGAGTAATGTGTTTCATATTCATAATTTAATTTGTTGCTAACAAATAAACTTTTTACAAGCACCTTATGTATCTTTGATGGCAATAGTATTTATAGCCATGATATAGGTATATATTATAAACCAAGTTATTCTAAAATTAAATATCGTAATATCATCAAAACTCCAAATAATACTGAATTTATTATATTTTATTGAAAAAAATATAAACCCTATTTGTCATAACAGCTAAAATGATTATTAAAACAACTATCCACTAAGGGTTAAGTCAGTTCTTCAGGGATACTAATTTAATTTTTTTTTTTTTATTACAGATAGATCAGTTGTAGATGAATGGATTAAGACTGATGATAAACACTCTTTTCCCATGGCTAGAAGATTGGCACGCGAAGAAGGATTATTGTGTGGTAAATATAATACAAATATAAAAAAAATCCCAATAAATACAATACTGATGAATTAATAGCATGATAATTTATGTTATATAGGTGGAAGCAGTGGTTCAGCAATGTATGTTGCTCTTCAAGTAGCCAAGACTATGAAGAAAGGTCAAAGACTAGTTGTTATATTGCCTGACGGCATACGAAATTACATGTCCAAGTTTGTTCAAGACGAATGGATGCGTGAAAAAGGACATGACCTTGTTGAAGATGAGCAGCAATTGTCTAAGAAAAATTAATAAGAATATAAGGTACTTTCTTCCACACAAAATTTGTATTGTTTACTAATAAAACCATACCAGAAAGGATCTATACTTTTTTATATTTCTTGTAATTAAGTGATACACTGATACACTGATAAAATAATATACAGTATTTGTAATTTTTATAGTTTTTCTTATTTATAATAATATTTTAACTATTAAAAAAATTAATAAATGAGATTTAAAATATAAAATATTATTACAAAATAAAATTAGGGGTGTATAATTTTATTCATTTTGAAAAAAATTATAAATATAATGTGGTAAATGTATCATTTGTATTTTTTAGTACAATGATACCTAACATCATATATATTTTGATTACATTAATAATATGCTATTACTTTAAATTATTCATGGTTAAATAAATATTTAAAAAAAAATTAAGGAATAAGGTTGATAATTACATACAATGGTGTAATACCTTTGGAGTGTAGACAAAAAAAAAATGATTTAGATAATAATTTCTGTAATAGTGTAATTAAATTGTAGCCATGTAATAATGTGTGGGCTGAAATTATTGTGTTAACTCTTAACATTAACAAATGTAAATCTTTGTCATTCAACAGACGCCACTCTCCTTATGTCTTCTCCTATTCAATTAATGGAACCGTCCTTACCCCCGTTGATAGTGAAGTTACTGATCTTGGCTTCATCCTTGTTCCTTCACTGTGCCCTAGAGCCCACATTGACCATATTACATGCAAAGCAAATTAAGTATTAGACTTCATAAAGAGAGTAGCAAAGGAATTAAAATTGTGAAGATCCCTAAAGACATTATATTGCACATTAGTCAGACAGATTATTGAGTATGATTCTGTGGTGTGAAACCCTCACTTGATGGTATACAGCCAACAAATTTAGCGTGTCCAGCTTAAGTTTCTCTGCTTCGCAGGTTACAGTTTAAAATTTAAATATTGTCCATCCTCCTCATGACTATGACTTGGTACTCCAAAACTAGAACTTACTATCTCTAGCCGATCGCCGTAATGCCCGTGACCTAACCTTCCTTCAGAATATTATTTGTAGTAAAATCGATTCTCCCTCACTCCTTCAATATACTAGTTTCAGAGCTCCTACACTATATAACCGTAACATTGCTCCATTATGTACCACTGATTATCTGAAAAATGAACCTTTCACTCGATGTATGAGAGGGCCAATCAAGACACCTTCTTCGCCTACTCCAGTTGAATATGTCGTTTCGTCATATTTCAGATTTGTTTTTATTTCATATCTTGTATTTATATAATTTATTATATTCTATATGTTTCTGTATATTATTATTGTTAATTGTAAATACCATTATAATTTCTATTATTTTAAATGGGCTTCCGCCCGTCAATATTAAAAATAAATAAATATGACTTTTTTTATGAACATACATAATTTGAAGAAAACCCAAATTATATTGGAATCCAACACTGGTAATTTTTGGGCTTAAGAAAATATTAAACTAATAATTTTAATGTATATTTTAATTCTATTTAATTTCTAGTATACTGACCGTACACAAAAATATCTTTGTTTGAGTGCAATACTTTTGAAAAACAATTAACTTAAATTATCAGTTAAAAGTTAAACATTCATGTATAATAAAACTTTAAATCATTAATTAATTAATTCTTTACATAATATGAACTAAATTTATCTTCAAATTACAATCAATGCCACAAAAAAATATTTTCATCACATCAAACAATAATTTTAACAATAAAAACATAGTTTTTTTTTTTAAATCTCAAAAAAATAAATGTTTATAACAACTGATACATGGAAAAAGATAGTTATTAACTTCACCATGTGACTTGATTAAGTTGAAAATGATTCAGTAAGCTTACACATTGTAATTTGTTGTAAAAGAACTTTGAAAGTGACGCATAGAACTTTTTTTCGGGTGTATGGTGTTTTCTAAACCACTCATCCAACTATAAACGCCACCCGACGTAATATCTTAAAATTAATTTTAGTGACTTTAAAATATACGAGTACCCACTGCAAAAAAGCGTCTATCTTTTAAACCAGTCAGTATCAGTGAGTGAAATCATGGTAAATCGATAACAAATACTATGTGTAAAAATCATGTAATTTAATTTCATATTTACATATATGCGGCATATTCACAGCAATATTATCCAATTGTCATCCCGGGTTAAAAATGTTTAATATGCTTTTACGACAGCAGATATTCCTTTTCCCCGTTGATTATAACATTTCGCATAATGATTTTTTTTTTTTTCTAATAATAATGTCGTTTTGTTGTTCGCGTTATTGTCATAACCGTACCAGTACAATGTACCAACACCTACGTATATATGCTCAACGAACGACGTGCATTATAATATATTATAATAATAATAATTCCGGGCTATAGCGGTGTACTAATACCATTTACGTCGTCGTTTTTACATATTATATTGTAATACCAGCCACACGCGTTCCATTGCCGCCACAGCCACCACCATTTCACCACCGTACATTATTACATGACTTCTTCCCGTAATACTTGCTCAGAAAACTTTTAATATAATTATTTTAATAATTCCGAACACCTGATGCTACGCCACGTCGCTGAGTTGTTGTATGTGCTTGCTGTGGTGTTTTGTGAATAGACGTATACACACGCCTTTGCAAACGATGGCGACGAATGACGATCGAGTAGGTACCCAATCCTCTGATTATTTTTCATCTGCACTAGAGATATTCCATAAAAATGGTCCGTCCAAATGTAACATTATTATTATTATTATTTTTGTCGACGGTTTTTGTGCTCTTGTTTCCGGATTGAAAATCGACATTCGACGTAGTTATTTTATAGCTTGTAATGGGGTGCAAATGTGCGATAAGACGTGTGTCACACCACTCAGTTGTGTCACATAAATCGTTATTCATTTTGGTCACAATAAAAATAACATTATGTCGAATAATGACGATGCATTTTCTTTGCCGTCAAGTGATTTTACCCTTGTTCTTAATCTTATATTATATTTGTTAGGTTTCATTAAAATTAAATTCATTAGATTTTAGTGTCTTGCCCAAAACAGTTATATATTTTTATTACCTGGATAACGGAGTGCTTATCACCGTATCCACGGTTAAGTACCTAATTACAATCTGAAAGTCAAGAAAGTCAAAGGTGGACAAAATGTTTTTTTTATTTTTTTGGATTAAAAGACGAATTGATAATGTCTAACTGAAGTTCTAAAAAACTAAAAGTAAAACATTAATTGTTTGACATTTTGACTGACAGGAACGTAAATGAAAAAATATTAACTGTAACGACCGAAATAAGGTAAGTGGTTATTAAATTTATCTACTAAAAAAAAAAAATTGATTATAATAAGCAATAGGTACCTATCATAAATATCGCTTTCAGGATCACGATCGTACCTATAGGTATATGAAATACAGACAACGGTAAAGCTAATAAAACACCTAAGTACAAAAAAAGCATATAACATATATATTATATATATTGTGCGATGAAGCGACGCTATATGTATAGGTAGTCCATAAATTTGTTACCGTATACTTTCAAATTTCAATCGTTTGTTGAGTCAAAGGATATTCGTTCGACATAAACCGTTTACGAAAGAATAAAATTCCACACGACTATAATGTAATGCAATATTTATCGAATGCGATAAAACTTTAAAATACACAAGGACCCAGCGCCACCCCTCCCCCATAGCAGCAGCCCTCTCGTGGCCCGTCCGCCCCATAATTTATCCCCATACAGCCACGCACGCTTTTAAAAGAACCTCTCTCCCGTTGGCGGCCACCTCTAATAAAACACTAATAATATAACAATAACTTGCATATAAGGTACCTTATAGGTACAAGTACCTATACCTTGTGAGGTATACCTATCTAACCTGCACTTTTATACGTTTGCATACATACGTTGTACATTACAAAATCCCCTACCATACTAGGTAGTATGTGCAATATATGCATAAGTGTTATTATTATTTTTGAGGTGTTCAACAAAACTCTCTCATATTATCGTCTAAACCGCCGTCGCCGCGCCGCTGGTACATATCGTTATTTTTCACGAATATAAGTTTGTTTATTATTAAAAGGGACGGCGACGTGGGAAAGCGTTAATAAAACGTCAACAAAACTACTAAACTACCGTGACGGCGACGGCATTTACCGCGGCGAGTTTATTATTATTGTTATTATTATTACAATTTTACAACGTCGTCTTTCGGCGGGGGTGGTATATGTGTGTCGACGCGAGCTGCAAATATTATCATTACGACGACGACGTATTGTTATTGTTATTCGCAAACCACCTCCGCCGCAGAAAATTGTATTATTATTATCGTAAAAACCAACTGTTGTTTGGCGGCGGAGGTGGGCCAGAGGTGTCGGGAGAAAGCAGAGGGGAAAAAAGTATGGCACACCGAGCAACGCGTGTATTATAAAAAGATTATTAGGTACAATGTTGTTTACTGTCGTCGTTTCCTCTCTACATCTCTATAATATTATGTATACCGAGTACCAAACTACCTACCTACTTATACCTGCCCGTCATAAGCTGTAGAATTTCCTCACCCCGTCCAGACGGTATAATATAATATTATCGTCATTATTATTGTATTATTATCATAACCACGCGATGATTATTATCATTTGTATATTCGTCTCCGCGCGTTTTATTAACTTAATTTTTTTATTCACTATACAGCAATACAATTATATTCTGTTTATTTTGCGGTCACGTCTGTGCTGATGAATTCCACCAACTATTTATATATTATTATTATTATTATTATTTAATTATCATATAGATCGTTGCAGATTAAACACCTTTAGCGGCGATTATCAATATGCGGCGTAGAGGTGCCAACTTCTTATTTCGGCAGCCGGAATGAGATTAAATTGCCACTTATTTTAGTCTGTGGCCCGCGGTGCAGAAGGGGAAAACGGAGTTCTAAAATATAATCGTCTACGATGCCCGAGTTGTAAAA